GTTGGCAGTTGCTGTATGCGGGCTATAGTATAGCCTAGGGCTCTACTAGTACTACTACTACTATTAGTACTACACTAGTACGGCCCAAGGATAGAGAACATGGGTCCCAATAAAACTACTAGTAGTAGTAGTAGTACTAGAGCCCTAGGCTATACTATAGCCCGCATACAGCAACTGCCAACTGTACGCGGGGTATAGTACTAGAGCTAATGCTAATCCTAGTAGTAGTAATACTACTTACTACTTACTACTTAGTATATAGGCACATAGTTTGGCTGAGAGGGTCTATGTCCTTCAGGGTACTGCCGGAACGTACCCTGGGTACGGTCTGGTATACCGGAACGTACTGGTACTATCTAATGTGATAGTAATATGCCGGACCGTACCTCACCTACTCCACTAGCCCGACCAGGCTGTGCGACGGATTGTCTATACAATTGTTCTAACCCTAGCCACAAGTTCCCATCTCGCTTAACACTACGTGGCGAGAGGCCTCCGCCGTTACACGTCCTCCGCCGTGTAACTAGTCGGAGAGCCTGGTCGGTTTATTCTAACCCTAGCAATACCGTTTCTTGGAGCTACTACTCCACTAACGAGTCTAGGAAGTTGCCTACGCCTACTCCCTAACCCTAACCCTAACCCTAACCCTAACGCTAACTCTAACCCTAACCATATCAAATAGTTACTAATTAAGGTACGTTCCGGTTAGTCCGAGTCGACGCAGACCCCAGTAATGGTCCCAGGTAATGCAGACCCAGGTATGCGGTTAAACCTGCACCCTCAGATTAGCAAAGCAGAGTTATAACGTCTGCATTTGCGGACAACGTTCTGGTATACCGGACCGTACCCAGGGTACGTTCCGGCAGTACCCTGGGGGACATAGACCCTATGAGCCATAGTTTGTCACTTTGTATGAGCACTGTCACTCTGACACTGTTTTGGTTACGTTGATCCAACCGTTATAAGTTTTAGATCTGTCCGTATCATGGTGAAGTGAAGGTGTTTACAGTTTAGGAGATAGAGAGTTATTACAAATAGCGTTAACCAAACAATTAAGAGGCTCGTGTTTGATTCATGATTGTTAATTCGATGAAACCTATTCCGTATTCCGACTATTCGTAGTACACGGTCATCCGAGCCTGATCATTCATTGCACAGGCACTTAATTGGAACGTTTCAATAATTAAACGATGGTAAATAAACAGAAATGTATTTACTACCAAAGTCTTAATGTTATTGTTTGTATACAGCAGCATTCGTGTGGTGAACTTCTGTGTTGCAGAGGAGCATTTACGGAAAGTTATTACTAATAATTGGCGAAGAGAATAGAGAAACATTGAGACATTGGTAGTAAATACATTTCGTGTTTATATACCATCATTTTGTTATTGAAAAGTTCCAAGTGCCTGTGGATCATTGATTTCGATATGTCATGTGTCTGTGTCATCTTAAAAGCTAGGGTTCTTTCAAGTTTAGCTTTTTCGTGTCTGTCAGTCTATATTAGAATTCTCTTCCATCTTATCTGGTTAAATGTAAAATTTAATTTTTTACTGCAATTTGTTTGTTCCAGAGTCTGTACAGAATCCATATGCAGTAAGATTAGCTGATGATCAGCAGGTAGAGAAGAAACGGCCAGGATCATGCTTGTCCAAAGGACACTTGTTTGGGTACGTGTGCAAGGATGCAAGGTGATACAGATAGAGTGAACCTGTATTTAAGGGCCACTCATGGCTAACTACAAAAGTGCCCATTATAGACAGGTGTCTATTCTATTAAAGTTGTTTCATTGTTAAACTCTCACTCAAAGGTAATCGCAGAGGGGTCCTTAATGTGGATATGTCTGTTCGATGGCAGTATCCACTACTTGTGTACACTTGTTGATCTATAATTTCTATTTTCTGAAGGCATTAGGTTACTGATGATTTGTATTTATCTATTGATATGTTATACTTCTACAAATCATGTATTTCTCCAGTTTTACAGATGATCTACTGGCTGCTATTCTCGCAACAAAATCAGAACTTTGTGGTCAGAAGTTTGAGTTAAAAATAAATGACTTGCGATTCATTGGTCATCCAACTCTGATGCATTATGGAAGCAAAGGCCAAGTATCCCCCAAGAGTGAAGGGCCCAGTATGATCCTGTTCAATATAGTCTTTGCCCTGAAGGTATTCATTGAGAGATGTGATCTCATTTGGCTAGATGTCCATGTTTTTTTCTCATCATAAACTCGCAAAAATCTTTTTGTTTATGCCTCTCTCAGGATCCTTTACTGTCTTTGCCAGTTATTTCTCCATCTAACTCCTACCCCCTCTACTTTTCTGCCTCTTTTATACACACACGCACGTGCACGCACACGCATACACACATATCGGGATTAAATAATCTCAAAGGCATTTGATACGTATTTCCCCACGTTTTTACCGATTTTCAACTTCAAATTTTGGCACAAATAAAAACAAAAATGTGTTTTTTGAGCTTATTTCGGAGCTTTATATTATTCGCATATTTTGTACTGAAATCAGTTTATAGCTATTTACTGTCTTATTGTTGTAAATTATATTCAAACATGGTGTTGATTCGATGCTTTTTGGCATGTTGTCACATCTATGCAGGCGTATTTTGTTGAGTGATACTGGCGACAACTGCTCCAGTTCTGCGCATGTGAATACAGAACAGGCTTGGTTGTTTATGTTCAGGCTGCAGCATCGATTTCTGTCATCCAGTGCTACCACGACTTCAGCAAGCGGCTTGCAATAGCACTGCGACACGAGGAGCACAGATGTGGCTACCTCAGCCATGAAGCAAAGGTCATGCTAGGGGTCGTGGACGAGGTGGCAGCACTGCCTGAAGGTAAATGTTTGCACACTACTATATACCACTCACTCAAACGTAATAACAAACACACCCAACTGCGAAAGCGGCCTCAGTGCACCAGGCTAACACCCTGAGAAGTCTAACATTTATATATGGAAGTAAATTAATACTACTTATCTTATGAAAGGTAATTAGTTCTGATTTTCTGGAAACAAATTGGTACTTATTTTATGAGAGCAAACTAGTACTTATTTTATGGAAGCTAACTGTAAACATTCATTTTGTGAATGCAAATTAATAACTTTAGATGCTTGTGGTTTGCGCGTGAAGAGGTAGAGAAATGAGACGTTTGTGCTGCGTTGCAGCTGACTTTGACTCCCAGTCACCGTTCTCACTGATGCTGAACAAGAGTGAGCTAGCGCGTGATCTCAAGCACGTCTACCTGAGCCTGTGTAGCAATGGTGATGTACGTATCAATGTCAACCACTGGATTGAGGTCAGCTTCTGTCTACCGCACAAAGCACACTGCCAGTCTCGGCTCCTCGACCATATGGTCATAAAGGTGATGTTGCGGCATTTCACGGGTGTACGCATTTTATTTTCGGTATCGCCCGCTAGGGGCGCTTATGTTTGGGTAAACAGTGCAAATGGCGGCGTGGACGTGGCAATGTGAATCTTCCACGATTGAATAATATATATCAGACTGTTTCACGAGTACACACTGCTAGGGGCGCTTATGTTTGGGTAAACAGTGCAAATGGCGGCGTGGACGTGGCAATGTGAATCTTCCACGATTGAATAATATATATCAGACTGTTTCACGAGTACACACGTCTTCATTATTCAATGTGTTTAAAATTATTAAAGGTAAGCACCGTCACAGGTACTCTGTTTTTGTTCATGATAATACTTTAATTATCATGAAAAACAATCTAAACTCCACAGGTGTATCACGTCATCATGTCAACCATTACGTCACAGGGCACTCGTTATTTTGGGGCCAAATTTCTTTCATTGCATGGCCTTTTACTATAGTATTTCATGATTTTCTGACCAACTTCCTTTGGTGACATAGTCGATTAATGAAGTACTGATCCTTATGTGGTCAAGTTTCTTTAATGCAGACTAGTGCAAAGTTTCAAGTTTAAGCTCCTTGAGTGACACACCCATTTAATGAAGTAATCATAGTTTTTATGGTCAAGTTCTGACATCAGAATACACGGAACGGCAATTCGTCCACGTCTGACGCGGTTGCCGCGGTTACTCTCGTCGTGACTCTCGCAGGGGTAGAAATTAACTTTTGAACACGGGAGTCCAACGGACTCCTGACCCTCAAAAAGAGGGAGTCCGCAGCAAAATGAGGGAGTCCGCAGTCTGAGGTTCAAAATTATTGATATTAACAATAACGCATGTGCTTATTTTTAAGATTCATGCGGTTACACGTCTGCCAAATTTTCTTTGGTCATTAGCTGAAAAAATACGGTAATTCCGCGAAGCGCTGCTCCGGAACGAACTAGTTAGTATAGCAGAATTTTCAGGGAGTCACACGGACTCCTGCATATGTCAAATCAGGGAGTCCGACAGTAAATCAGGGAGTATTTGACTCCGGACTCTCGTTAATTTCGCACCCTGCTCTCGTCCATCGTTTACGCAGCCCGAGCAGATCAACAAGTGTCTGGAGGTGCTGCGTCCATACCACGCCATGCTGCTGCTGGACGATGCCAACAAGCTGATAGCGGAACTCTCGCCCGACATGTCGCCGGCGCTCATCCGCGTTTTCCGCGTCACCACCCCGCTGAAGAGTCTGCGTGACCTGGGAGCCGACGCTGACCTCACGCTGAGGCAGGCAGGTGGCGCTGCGATTCTCGATGGAAACGCGTTCCATGGTTGTTTGTGGCTGGAGCGTAATGTTGATGACAGCGGTTATACGAGTTAGGGGTAGGGCTAGGTTTACAAATGAGGGCTGGCTATACTTGAAGGCTTTGTTTGATTTCGGGTGTACGTTTTACGGAATTTTAAGCTGGCATGTTGAGTCGGTATAACAGCTATAGACTAGGGTTAGATTAGAGGTGGAGTTAGAAATTAGGGTTATGGTTAGGGTTCTGCGGTCTGTTGTCAGAAACAAGATTAATCTTAACATTAATCTTAACATTAAGTATTTCTCATGGACCATTAACGGAAATATTGTGAAGTTATGAGTTTCTCCTATGCAATGTATCGAGGTCTGGTTTTCGGAGGAAAAGTACACGTTTACACTAATTTTTGTTTCTGACAATTTAGGGCCCTGTTTAATTTAGTTATGCTATTAAGGAGGTAATACCTAGATAATGATTTATCAGTTATCATGAAAATTCATGTGTATCTAGTCTCATGAATCTAGGGATCCTCTTGAATGCTATTTATTTTTATAGGCAGCACATTCGATCTAGGTTGAGCAATACTTCTCGAGTTGAATCCATGAATATTTGTGAAGGGATTTCATATCAAGTTGGTAATTTTAATGCATATATGTTGTTATACAGGTCTTCTATCTGGTCAGTCATCTAGTGTACTGGGCAAAAGCTACCATCATCTATCCCTTGTGTGAGACCAATGTCTACGTATTATCACCGAATGCTAGTCTACAGGTAACTTTCCATGCTACTCTACAACGTCTCATATTAGCCTATAGCTAATGTGATGTGCGAGCCTACAAGTACTGTGCTATGCTAACCTACACCTAATGTGCTATGCTACTGTACAGCTAATATGTCATACTATCTTACAGTTAATGTATAATATTAACACATGTTCATATAGATTTAGAATGATGATTTGGATTAGGCCTAGCCATGAAATACGTTTAGCTATACTTGGAGCTATACGATCACCAAACTCTTCCACCAACCCTAATCTGATCCCCGACGATGACAACCACCGCTCGCTGCGTGTTGGTCAACGTGACCGCCCTTCGCGGTCGTGTCAACGCATCACCGATGTTGACAGGTGAACGCAACGCTGGCGTCGAGATTCGTCGAGCATTTCCCCGGCATGTCTCTGCACGCCGTCATGGAGGACTTCTCGCTGCCGACGCAGCTGCGCGAGCAGGGCAACCCGCTCGGCCTCCCGCATCAACAGGTGCAGCAGGTGAGTGACGAGGGGTGGTGCTACGACGCGTGACGACGGGTGGTGCGACGCGTGACGACGGTGGCGGCGCGACGCGTGACGACGGGGGTGCTACGACGCGTGACGACGGGTGGTGCGACGCGTGACGACCGGGGCGCGCGTGACGACGGGCGCGGGGCGATGCGCGACGCGCGAAACGACGGGGCGGCGAGCGACGACGGCAGGGCCGGCGCCGACGCGCGGACGACGCGGCGGCGCGCCGCTGCGACGCGTGGACGACCTGGGTCGGCGCAGCGCGCACTGACGACGGGGGGGCCGGCAGCGACGCCGTGACGACAGGGCGCGTGCTGCCGCGCGACGACCGGGCGGCGCGCGGACGCCGTGACGCACGGGGTCGGCGCGCGCACGACGCGGGAGGCGGCTGCGACGCTGTCGACGACGGTGGGCGGCGCGCGACGACGGGGGGCGGCCGCGACCGCCGACGACGGGCTGGGCGAGACGCGCCGACGACGCGGTCGCCGGCGCCCGACGCGCGGACGACGGGGCGGTGCGATGCGCGGACGACGGGCCCGGGTGCTATTCGACGCGCCGACGACGGCGGCGGCGCGTACGCGCGACGTAAGGTGGCGACGCCGCGCGCACGACTGGGCGCGCGAAACGCGCCGACGAAGGTGGGCGGCGCCGTACGACGGGTGGGGCGGCGCGACGCGCGACGGACAGGGGGGCGCATGCGCACGCGCCGACGACGGCGCGCGGCGACCGAATGCGCGACGACGGGCGCGGTGCTACGACGCGCGACGACTGGGCCGCGCGACGCGCGACGAACCGGGGGCGGCGCCGACGCGCGACGAAGTGGCGGCGCGACGCGCACGACACGGGGGACGCGTGCGCGGATGCGCGCACGACGAGGCGGCTGCTACGACGCGCGACGACGGCGGCGCGCGACCGCGCACGACTCGGGCGGCGGCGCGATGCGCGACGACGCGGAGTGCGACGACGCGCGACGACGGCGGCGCGACGCGCCGACGACCCGGGGCGCGCGACGCGCGACGAGGTGCGGCGCGACGCGCACGACTGGCGCCGGGCCGCGTATGCGCGACACGGGCCGCGGTGCTACGACGCGCGACGAGCGGCGGCGGCCGCGACGCGCTGACGACCCGGGGACCGGCACCCGCGACGGCCGCGAACCGGTGGCCGTGGCGCCGACCGCGCACGACGGGGGCGCGCGACGCGCGACGAGGCGCGGCGCTACGCGCGACAACCGGGGGCGGCCGACGGCCGCCGACGTACTGGGCGTTGCGTACGACGCCGCGACGACGGGGCGGCGCGACGCGCGACGACCAGGGGACGGCGCCGACGCCACGACGACAGGGCGGTGCTACGATGCCGCGCGACGACGCTGGGGAGCCGGCGCGACCACGCGGCACGCGACGGGGGCGAGCGCGGACGCGCCTGAGGTCAGGGGCGGTGCGACGCGTGACGACTCGGGCGGCGGCCACGCCTGAGGTCGGGGGCGGTGCGACGCGGCTGACGACGGCCGGCAGCGCGACGCGTGAGGTCCCGGGGGGCGGCGCGACGGTGTGCACGACGGGCATGGCAGCGCCCGTACGCGCGACGACGGGGGGCCGGCGCGACGACGGGCGGCAGCCGCGACGCGTGAGGTCGGGGGCGGTGACCCGACGTCTTACGACGGGGCAGCGGGGCGGGCGGGGGCGGACGGACGGGGGCGGCGCGACGACTGGGGAGCGGCGCGACGCGGTGACGACGACGGGGCGTGCGCGACGCGTGAGCGTCGGGGCGGTGCCGACCGCGCGACGACGGGGGCGGCGCCGGACGCCGACGACCGCGGGCGGCGCTGGACGCGTGACGAGGGGGCGCGCGCGCACGCGCGACGACGGGGCGGTGCTACGACGACGCGACGACGGGCGGGGCTGGCCGGACGCGCGACGACGGCGGGCGGTCTGCGCACGCGTGGAGACTGGGCGCGCGCAACGCGCGACGACGGGTGCGGGTGCCGACGCGGTAGAGGGTGGGGGCGGTGCGACCGCGGACGACCGGGGGCGGCCGCGACGCGACGCGCGACGACGGGGGGGGCGGGTGACGCGCGACGACGGGGGCGGCGAGCACGACGGGGCGCGGTGCCGACGCGTGGATGACGGGGCGGCGCGACGCGTGCGACGGGGGGCGGCGGCCGCGACGCGCTGACGACGGGAGGCGGTGCGCACGCGTTGATGACCCGGCGCGCGTCACGCGCGACGAGGGCGCGGCGCCGCGACGGGCGGCGCGACGCGCCGACGACCGGGGGCGCGCTGCGACGCGTGACGACGGGGGGGCGGGGCGCCGACGCGTGACGACGCGCGGGGCGGCGAGCCGATGTGACGCCGCAGACGACGGGGCCGCTTACGGCGACGACGCGTGGCGGCTGCGACGCGCGACGCACGTGGGGCGCGTTGCTACAGACAGGCCGCGACGATGCCGCACGCGCGCACGCACGGGGGCGGTGCGACGCGTCCGAGGTCGGGGGCGCGCTCAACGCGCGGACGACGGGGGCGGTGCGACGCGTGATGGTCGCTGGGGTGCTACGACGGTACGACCGGGCGGCGCGAACGCTCACTCGGTTGACGACGGGCCGGTGCCGAACGCGCCGACGACGGGCAGGCGGCGTGACGCGCGACGACGGGGGGCGGCGAGACGCGCCGACGACGGGGCGGTGTACGACGCGCGACGACGGGGGCGCGCTGCTACGACGGCGCGCACGATCGGCCCGGTGGTGGCGGCGCGAGCCGTGACACGGGGGCGGGAGGCTGCGACGACGGGGGCGCGCGAGACTGCGCGACGACCGGGGCGCGGTGCGCACGCCGCGAGAACGACGGGGCGGCGCGCCACGCGCCGACGACGGGGCGGATGCGACGCATGACGACGGCGCCGAGTCGACGGCACTGGGCGGTGCTAACGACGCGCGACGACGGCGTGGCGGCGCCGACGCGCTGACGACAGGGGCCGGTGCTACCGACGCGCGCACGACGGGGCGGCGCGACGGTGACGACGGGGCGCGCGAGACGCGCGATCACGGGGGCGGCGTTGACCGCGGGACGACGGGGCGGCGCACGCGCGCACGACGGTGCAGGCGGCGAGCGACGACGGGGGGCGGCCGAGGACTCCCGACGACGGGCGGGCGGTGCTACGACGCGCGGACGACGGCGTCGCTCGAGCGACGACGGGGGCGGCGAGACGCGCGACACGCTCGGGGCGGGCGCGCGACGCGCGACGACGGAGGGGCTGGGTTGCTCACGACGCCGCGACGACGGGGAGCGGCCGCGAGCGACGACTCGGGGCCGGCGCAGTACGCCGCGACGACGGGGGCCGCGAGTACAGCGCCGACGACGGGCGCGGCGAGACGCGCGGACGACGGGGGCGGGTCTGCGACGCGTGACGACGGGGGGCGGCGCGACGCGCGACGACGGGCGGCGGCGCGACGCGCTGACGACGGGCGGTGTACGACGCGCGACGACGGGGGGCGGCGAGCGCACGACGCGGGCGCGAGGACGCCGCACGACGGCGCGGCGGCGAGACGCGCGACGCACGGAAGCCTGGGGACGGCGCGCACGCGCGACGACAGGGGGCGGCTGCTACCGAGCGCGCGAGACGCGGGGGCGGCGAGCCGACGACTGCGGCGCGCCGGGCGCGCGAGTACGCGCGACGACGGGGCGGTGCTACGACGCGCGACGACCGGAGGCGGCGAGGGGCGGCGAGACGCGCTGACGACGCGTGTGCGTGCTACGACGCGGTGACGACCGGGCGGCGAGTACGCGCGACACGCGGGGCGGTGCTACGCGCTGACGACGGCGGGCGGCGCAGCACGCGCGACGAACGGGGGGCGGACGCGACGCGCGCGACGCGGGGCGCGCGAACGCGCGACGACGGGGTGGCGGCCGGCGAGATGCGCCGACCGACGGGGGCGGCGTGACGCGCGACGGACTCGGGTGGGGTGCTACGACGCGCGACGACGGGGCGGCGCAGACGCGCGACGACGGGGGGCCGGCCGCTACGACGACGCGACGACGGGGGGTGCTACGACGCTGCGACGCACGGGGCGGTGCTACGACGCGCGACGACGGGGGCGGCGAGACGCGCGAACGACGGGCGGGCCGGCACGCGCGACGACTGGTGCGGCGCGACGCGCGACGACGAGGGGGCGGCGCGACGCTCCGCCGACGACGGGGGCGGTGCGACGCAGCGACGACCCCGGGGCGCGCGAGCCACGCCACGACGGCGGCGGTGCGATGCTACGACGCGCCGACCGACAGGTGGGCGGGCTGCCGACGCGTGACGACCGGGAGGGCGGCGAGACGCCGCGACGCACGGCGGCGCAGCGATGCGACGACACCCGGGTGGCTGGCGAGACGCCGCGACGACGGCGGCGTGCTACGACGCGCGACGACTGGGGCGGCTGCTACGACGCGCGACCGACGGGCGGCGGGCGGACGGCGCTGACGACGCGGGGTGCTACGTCGGTGGAACGACGGGGCGGCGAGACGCATGACGACCCGGGGGCCGCGCTGAAGTGACCGACTGGGCGGCGAGTCGCTACGAACGCGCGACGACCCGGGGCGGCGAGACGCGCGACGACGGGGGAGGCGGCATGCTACGCCACGCCCAGACGACGGGGGGCCCGTGCGGTACGCGCGACACGGGCACGCCCTGCGGCGCGCCGACGCGTCGACCGACGGGGGCGGCTGCGACGCCCGCGCCGGACTGGTCGCCTGCGTGACGACGCGTGGGCGCCCCGCTACGACAGCGGCGCGACCGGGGGCGTGCCGACGCTGTCGACGACGGGCGGTCGGCCGGACGCGCGACGACGTGGGGGCCGCGCTGCTACGACGCGCGGACGACAGCGGGGCCGAGTCACGCGCGACGACAGGGCGACGCGCGACGCGCGCACGACGGGCGCGTGTACGACGCGCGACGACTCCGGGCGGCGCGTGCTTACCGAACCCGACGACCGGGCCGGCGCTGACGGCTAGCTGACGACGGGGCTCGGCGGCAGGCGCCCGACAGACCGGGGGGCGGCGGAGACGGCGCGACGCCCGGGGCGCGCGAGCCTGACGCGCGACGACGGGGCGCTCCGGCGTGCGACGCGTGAGCAACTGGCGGGCCGAGGCGCTGCGACGACCGGGCGGCGCGCACGCGCAGACGACGGGGGCGGTGCTACGACGCGCCGACGACCGGCGGCGGCGTGAGCGACTAACCGGGGGCGCGCGAGACCGCCGCGACGACGGGGCGGCGCGACGCCGCGAACGACGGCGCGGGCGGTGCTTACGACGCGCGGACGACGGCCGGTACCCTGTCCCCTGGCGGGCGAGCCGACGACGGGCCGGCCGGCGGCGAGACGCGCGACGACTGGGGGCGGTGCCTACGCGCGACGGACGGGTGGCGGCGAGACGCGCGACGACGGCGCGCGGACGCTGCGCGACGCGCGGACGACCGGGGCCGGTGCTACGCGCGGACGACGCGGCGGCGCGCCGAGACGAACGCGACGACGGGGGGGCGCGACGCCGACGCGCGACGACGGCGGACGGCGGCGCGACGCGCCGAGCGACGGGCGGCGAGACGCGCGCGACGACGGGGCGCGTGCCGACGCTGACGACGGGGGGCCTGCTACGACGACGTGACGACGGCGGGCGGCGGTGCTTACGCACGCCGTTGCACGACGGGGTTTTTTTTTTGCGCTACGACGCGCCGACGGCACGCTGGGGCGGCGCACGCGGCGACGACGGGGCGCGCGAGACGCGCCGACGACGCGCGGTGCGCGGGGTCCGACGCGTGGACGTAACGGGGGCTGCTACGCACGCGTGACGACGGGGGCGCGCGAGACGCATGACGACGCGGGGCGGCGAAGTGACGATCGGGGCGGTGCCTACGACGGCGCGAACGACCGGGGCGGCGAGAACGCGCGACGACGGGGCGGCTCTACGACGGCGCGACGACGGGTGGCGGTGCGACGCGCCGACGACGGGTCCGCGCGGACGCTTGACCCGACTACGGGGCGGCGCGTGGTGCGACGCAGTGACGACCTGTCGGGCGCTCCGGGGCGGCGCTACGACGCGCGACGACCCCAACGGGGGCGGGTCGACGCGACTGACGACGGCGCGGCGCGACGCGCCTGACGACCCGGGGCCCCCGGGCGGCGCGCACGCGCGACGACCACCGGCGGGCGCGCTGCTCACGCGCACGACGCAGCGGGGCGCGGCCGCGGAGCGGGCGTGTTGTACGACCGGGGCGTGCCGCACGCGTGACGACGGGGCGGCGCTACCGACGCGCTGACGACGGGGTCGTCGCGACGCGTGACGACCGGGGCGGCGCGACGCGCCGCGACGACGGGGCGGTGCTACGACGCGCGACGGACGGGCGCCGCGCGAGACGACGCGACACGCGGGCGGCGCTACGACGCGCGACGACAGGGGGCGCGTGCTACGACGCGCGCGACGAACGGGGCGGCGAGCCGACGACTTCTGGGCGCGGCGGCGGCCGAGCACGTCGGCGACGACCGGGGGCGGCGCGACGCGTGACCGACGGGGCGGCCGGCGCGACGGCCGTGACCCGACCGGTGGGGGCGGCGCTACTGGACGCGCGCGACGACGGCCGCTCTGGCGGGCGAGACGGCGCGACGACGGGGGGCGGCGCGACGGCGCACACGGGTGGTGCTACGACGCGTGACGACGGGTGGTGCGACGCGTGACGACGGTGGCGGCGCGACGCGTGACGACGGGGGTGCTACGACGCGTGACGACGGGTGGTGCGACGCGTGACGACGGGGGCGGCGCGACGCGCGACGACGGGGGCGGTGCTACGACGGGGGCGGCGCGACGCGCGACGACGGGGGGGACCTCTATTGTGGAGAGTTCACTATATATCGTTGTGCCGGAAGGTTAATATTAGGAGTGAATAAACACACTCCTGTTAACGTGGCCATTGTTTCCCGGATTAAATAGGATGTTTTCGTTGGATTTCATGTGGTAACGTGTGTCTGTGACGACTTAACAGGTGCAGACTGTCGTGTGGATGCTGCAGCACAGGTTGTTGGTGCAGCTGCATACCTACGTCTTCTTGGTTCCAACGTCCGGTCCCTCTTCTCTCCTCATTAAGAGCAGGTAACGATTATCGTCTAGAGTGCAGTAGAAAGATTGAATCTCTGTTTTCCAAAATACGCTTAGACTCTAGAAAGTAGTTGCACCGTCTTTTTTTGTTATTTGGCGTTATATGTCTCAATATACTATGAGGGAAGTTAGTAACTCGTCTATGTACAGTCAAGCCTACATTAGTGGCAGCTAATGAGCAAGCAAACACTCGCCTATAAAAGACAATTTAAGTGCTTCTCTTGATTGTTAATTATACAATGAAAGCACTACTATAGCAGGGACACCTTTCTGTGAAGGCCACTTTTAGGTTTTTTCTTTATTAATCTGTACGTACACCTAGATTTGCCCGTATGCCAATAAAGAAAACAGACACCTGTTGTGAGTCGAGTGTTGATAGAATCACCAAATGTTTGCAGATCAACGGATACCGTGGGACATGGTAGTCAGGAGGAATTGCAGGAGGCAGACAGCAGGCGCATATCTGGCCTCTCTAATTTCTCAGACACCGACTCCGGTATGTCATCTTCTTAAAACCTCTCTCTCTATGCGCGGCGTGAAACGTCCCTCCTGTCACAGACGATGAACGGCCATGGGAATCTATCTAGTATAATTTATATTTTTATTATATTATATTACATTATATTTTATCTATATTATTCTCTATAGCTTGCCATCTATTTTTCGTACGCGAATACGTGTCACCAGACGTGAAACGGGTCGATCGCTGCGCTTCTCTCTCCTCACAAACACGCACGCTCGCCGAGAAAATACGAACGCTGCCGGCAACTTCCTGGGTGCCGTCGTCGCGGGCGCTTGCAGACAAACGCGCACTTTTAACTCGGATGCATCGCGTAATGCTCATTGCAGTGGCAAGTGAGTACGGCAGTCCGCAGGGGTCGTTCGTCGCTTCCTACAGTGGATTAGAGTCGGATATGGCCAACATGAAGGCGGGACTGTCGGTCGACCTAGATGAAGGGCGTCTTCCGACAAGATTGAAGGTAATTGCAGAGAAACTCGACGTCCAGTCGATGATATCCGGTATCGCTAGCCCATCTTTCTTTACAGCACGTAGTATTACCAATGCCTTGCGAATCACCTTGATCATTTCCTTTGTAGGAGTTGCTGCCAGATGAATTAAGCTCAGAAGAGAAGGAGGCAATACTTAGTGTGCCAGCTGCGCGGAGCCCCGAGGATTTCAAGATGTTTGCTAGGCAAGTTTGAGCCATCGCAAGCGTATGCGAGAGGCTGAGACACTTGCTGTGCAATGTACTCGTAGTATACAAGTGTAGCATCTAAAGTTACAGGCTGTGTCAGTCGGCCAACACATGAGCAGAACCCAAGTATTGCAATCAAAAGCTACTGCTAGATGGCAAAGCACCGTCCATGTGTCTATATCAGGGGTGAATAATTTGGTTTATCAGGCCTGGTATATACATCTGACATGACTATTTACTGGTGTATCGCACACCTCTACTCTATAGTTATTAATTCCAGCTAGTATGACACACCAGTGACAGAGACAAGCAGTTTGTTATCCAAATAAGCGTGGGCTCTCTTTTTTGCAGGTTGTGCCCATATTTTCAGGGGTGCCATCACCTGGAGGAGATCATGTACTGTGAGAACGTTCGCCGCTCGACGCTACTCACCCTGCTAGATAAGTTCCGCAGCGTGCTCGTCACGTGTCAACACGAAGACAGGGTGACAACAGTGTTCCACAACCTGTGACGTCATGATGTGCTAACACAACCTGTGACGTCATGATGTGCTAACACAATGACACGGTGACAGTGGTGTTCCACAACCTGTGACGTCTAATGTTCCTAAACACTGTGATACAGTGATGTGCTAAACACAACCTGTGCGTCATGATGTGCTAACACAATGACAGGGTGACAGTGGTGTTCCACAACCTGTGACGTCATGACGCGTCGACAGACAGGGTGACAGTGGCGTTCCACAATCTATGATGACCGTGTCAACAGCACTTCCGTTTAGTGCACAGTCTGTACGGTAGTGTAGAGGCCATTTGTGCTCCTGGAGGATCCTAGTGGGTCAGTAACCAGGGTGCATCGAGTTTCCCTGTAAATTATCATGAGACGATCTTGATAGGATGTTAACCAGAATGACGCGCCAACATGAATTCAGGGTGATGACTGGTTTCTGTAACCTGTGATGTTGTTCATTGGATTGAGCATTCTGAGATACCATTCTTGCTCAAAGTAGTCCTATAAGACATTATCCAGTGCATTGTGCCTCCATTAAAATTATATTGATAGATATTTTTGCAGCAAAAGCCCAAGATTGCCATTATGAAGCATTTTATTCGATTATAATCAATTCGATTAAAGAGCCTTTCACGGTTGTACACGTTTTACCGGTAGAGTGGAAAACGGTATCTAACTAGAAACGAGCAGTTGCCGCCAACTACATGTATCCCCCGTGATCTAGTATGATGGAATACTCTGCTGTAAGGACGTAGAAGGCAGGTAAAGTTAAATAAGTCACAAAGGCAAAGGTTTGTTAGACAACTGGTCTTGCCCCACGATGTGCAAGTATATGGAATCTGGTTACCCTAGGAGGCGAAAGAGAAATGTAAGTCGAAGGTCAAGGTCAAACTAAAGGTCAAGGGCAGTGGTGGTTTTGGTATTCGACAGACCTTCCCAGATGTGTAAGCATACCAAGTTGGTCGCGGCTAGGTCAATTAGGGCTGAGTTAAGAGCGGAGGGAAATATGATCAAGTCAAAAGTAAAGGTGAAAATAAAGGTCGCAGTGACCTGGTTTTGGTACTCTGCACACCTTTCCCTCAAGATGTGTAAGTATACCAAGTTTTGTAGCGTAGGTGAATTAGGGGCCGAGTTACAGAGCGAAGGGAAATATGATCAAGGTCAAGGTAAAGGTGAAATGAAGTCGCAGTGACCTGGTTTGGTGCTGTGACACCTATGTCATCCATCAGTCAGTATGTATGCGTGCTGATTGTGTGTGTGTGTGATCGTGCGTGTGCATGCGCGTATGCCTTTATGTATGTGCGTGGTGGGTGGGGGGGGGGGCTCAACCCCCATCTGGACGACTGGTTATATGGTATATATATATATATACAATATATATCCTCCATTACACTGACAACGCAGGAAATATTTGTTGGAACTACTTATCCATATTGCAATGCTTTTGCATCGAAAATATTGCATTTGCATGAAAGGTGCCATAATTTCATTTTAATAATTTCATTTTCCTTTAGCTTTTGCAGTTTTGACCGATCTGTCGATCTTTAAATTTGGCATTGAAGTGCGTCTGTTTGGTAAAGCGAAGACGCCAAATCGTTTTTTGTGTTGTTGGCCAGAATCAGGTCAATTGCCATGTAACAAACACTTCTATGTGAGAAATATTGCTAAGAACCTGTAAACTCTGTCTGCCTGTTCATTAAATCCGATTGTCATCGGAGTTTTGCACACAGGGTCCAATATAACATGTCTATATATTATATATGTATATTATTGTCCTGTGTGACAAATTTCATCAGCGACCCAGGTCGGTGGTCTCCTTCCTGGTTAAAACGTGCAGAATGTAAAGGGTCTCGTAGAATATTTCGACATATAAATTTTGTGCTTAACCATGACGTCCAACGATGAGTCGTCGCTCTCTCCCCACACTCAACACATTGAATCACCAACGCTATTATATCGTTCTGTCGGTGATTTCCGCTTCCTACAAATAACGACCTTCTATCGTCCCAAATTTAGATCTAGATGATCCGAGAAGAACTGCAGCCGGTAGAGCGCTCACAAGGAAATTGCGGCGGCGGCGGCGCGACGAGGCCAAATCCATAGTATCCCCCCGAACTCGTTCGGGGGATACAACTAGCACAAACTAAATATTCCATGTAAAATGTACGTCATTCTGGATGTTTCGACTCAGTGTTGGTGATACTTTGAAACATAGCAGTATATGAGAATACTTAATTGTTGTAATTGAACATCAAAGGACCAAAGTGGTTAGCTTGTCAGAGGACCTCATAGATTATTGCCCTGAAGCTTCATTTAATTTTTGTACATGAGGAATGACACTAAAGTGTTATCAACTCAGTACTGACAAACCAAGTATATGTTCAATATAGTGAATGTAAAAAACAAATGTATAATTATTTCAAATATAGTATTTATTAAAGCGACGTCTTGTAAAATATATACATATTAGGAAAATATAGCTACACATTTTCAGAAAAGGTTAGTTTTCTTTTTTTTTATGTGAGTGAACTGTGCAAGAAATTATTACAAAGTCAAAATGTGACATAGTTTAATTCGAGCCTACAGCCCTGTGAAAAATAACCATGTTATTGCTTTCCTGTATCTTTGCAGGTTGATGGGAAGTGCAAAATTTACTCTACTCACGTGTGTTAGCAACAGCAACACATTCATTTGTGCACATGTAATATTGACACCCCAATTTTCCGCAGCAGTACTGTTATACCTGCTACACCGCAGGTGTTGGAACTCGCGCCTGACTCTTCCTCAGAGTTTCACACTGTGCTAACCATTGTTATATAGGTTGGGGCCATAATACTGCACCTTAATCCCATAGCGGCATAGCTAGTGTATATTTCGCCATAAAGTGACACCGGGAGTAGATAGCAGGGATCGCTTATGCATGTGGGCACAGCCCTATAGCGCAGTAACTGTAATGGAGACTGTAAACCATGAATACTGCTTCCAAATTACTTCCAAATCAAACCATCAGTAGATCTCCAATGGAGAAACAGACATCAGAAGTCCAGCAGCTGAAATAACAAAAAACTTTGGGTGAATGGCAATTCAAGATGAAATTTCCCTGCTATAAACACATGATTACAAGGCTTCAAAAATGCTAACAATAAGTAATCTGCTGACTATTAAGTAACTATCAAGTAATCTATTAACTAGAATCTTGGTATATTACATTGCACATGGGCAATGAAGGTCAAATTCTCATACCCATGCAAAAAACGCCATGTGCCCAACTAGACATAGCCACACCTATACAATGCAATGTAAATAGAGACGTTTGCTATATGTGGGGATGTATCATCAAGAGTCCATAATAGAAAATTACTATTATGGATTCTTGATACCATGCTGCATCAGCCTGGAGCTGGAGAGCCCAGTCATACCAACTTAGCCGTGCCTGGTAACCTGGGCTGACAGCGCTGTGGCAGCATGCTAACAACCTGTATATATATATCTAATGTGCATACAGCACACCTCACCAAATCTATATACAAATACAATCAATTTACAAATACCAGTTGTGGAAGAATCTTCTCAAAATGTTCAATTGTGATCATATCCAATCCCTCTCGCTGTCAGACAAAAGTCAAAGGTAAAGAAATTACCAGGTATTAAAAATCTTACACCAGAATCTATCTTATAATCTGAAAGTTCCTTTTATCTGAGATAAAACTAACTTAGATTATAATTATTAGTGTAACCATGACTTTTTGTATGAATGTAGTCTGCTCCCAGCCAAAGTATCTGTTTAAAATTTGTCTAACCAACTTAGGTTTTGGTTTCCAATAAATTTGTCAATTAGTTCATAAGTTCACTTCACATAACAAATATAATATACGTGACCATAAATAATTACCTTAGCCTGTATGCCAGAACGGACTGCACCCTCTGAAGTAAAAAATATTATCACTTATTTATATCGCTATACGTAACATGTCAATGATGTAATTCATTGAGTTTGGAGTGGGTCAATCAGTTCACATATTTACGTCATACATGGTTACAAGGTTTATGAACCACAAGAATTTATACCTGTAGCGAATTCTCGCAGAAGCTCTGTCATCAGCTTCACTGAAACCTGATTTGCTGAAAAATTAGAAAATCGTTATAGTCGAGGAAATCAATGTACAACTTGCCATACCGTGTTATAAACACTTGCGCATATATTATTTGAGTTTATCATTGCCAACCAAAAGAACACTACTCATAGTATAACTAACCTACATCAAATATATTGTGTAAAATTAGGAATTTACAACAATCTGATCAGACTGGTGCGAGAATAGAACAGCATTTGTTTACGAAAAAATTATTGAGCACAATTAACATTGCAAGAATGACTAAATGCCTAAACTAAGCTGGAAGTACTGAACTGACCTTTTGTTTTTTTATCCGTGAAATGCGTCTGCATCATGCTATTCACTGTTGCCTGAAACAATAATTGCATGTAAATGTATTTACATGCATTATAAATTAGATAGCAATTAAAGATCTAGTTGCAGTGCTATATAGCAACTCTAGTAATATTGCACTGTACTAGGACTGTAGGGCTGGCTGTTGATTGTAGTGAACTAGGGGTGGCCTAGACAGAGGAACCACACTGTGGTACTGCACTGACCCTGCAAGGTATCATCGATCTGAGGTCCCCTTGTCTAATTTGTTTTTGCTTCGGACGATACTAACACAAGTCACGACTACTCATGCATGTCGAAATTAATGGTAATAGCTGGGACATGCAATGATACATTGTAGTGCCACCATAGAAATTAGTATAGCATAGCCGGGCTAGACTGCAAGGCTTACGTCAATATAGTTATTTTAATACATGACCGTTTTTTGGAGCTAAACATAACACACAGAATATAAATCGTTTAATGGGTTAGTGTACCCTAAGGCTGATACTGATAGTAATAACCTATTACTAGTATTAGTTGGTTTATTCACCTTCTTGAAAGTGGGGGGCTGACTTTCGCCATCCATCTTCACTTGAATACCAGATGAAGGTAGCACAAGTGTTTCAACTTGTACACACCTAAGTATACCATATAAAGCTGGGTTTACACTGCCAATTTTGAGTTGCCGAATTGTACGAACTTGGCAATTTGGCAATTGACAACCGGCAGTGTAAACGTAAAAGGCGCACGTCCAACCGATCGATAGCAGCTAGTTGGGAGATAAGAACATGTAATGTTCTAATTTCGCCAACTCGGAGTAGGCGAGTTGGACGTTTTTTTGCCAAGTGGCCAATCAGAGAACAGCAATCAGGGGTGTGTCCCTCCACCCAGAGGGAGACCATTTGCTCGCACGTTTCTGCGGCGTGTGGGAAATGGTATTTGAGGTACTTTTGAGTACATGTACAGCCTTAATTCATTCTGACTATGAACTGTCTATGACATGACTATGTACAAGGGCGGGGGGGGGGCATTGTCTAGGTCGGGCTTATTATCGAATATGTTGGGGTGACCACCGCGGGGATGAGGGCAACAGCAAAACATGAACTTTCTTGGAATTGTGAAAAAAGCTGCAAAAGGAACTTGTAACCTCTGGTTTGCCACTCAATTACATAATTTAACCCATGCATCATGCTGGTACCGTTTTGTACAGCCGTGCAACTATTATACTTGTCAATAATTAATTGGGGGTGGCTATAGCCACCCAATCCACCCCCTAAATCTGCCACAGATGTAGTGTGCGCGGGTGGACGTGATCCTGCAGCCAGTGGTTCAGTGTAGAAACCTATCTCTGGTGCCATAGTAGTGTTTTCCTCGTCTGAATCTAGAATTTGTCAACTGTCCAGGAATGCTCCGATGAATCGAAGGCAAATCTCATATACTTATGAGAATACTTATATGAGAATATACTTTATGTGAGAAGGCTCAATGCATGTGGTGTGTAGACTAGACTGAATGACTGTGGCGTGTAGACAAGGCTGAATATAGAGACCGGGACAAGAGGCAGAAAGCGATAAAAGCGCTTGAATGGCCGAGTGCAGCGATGTACATGGTGTACATGTGTATGTACATATGTATATGGTGTTTGGCATCTGCGCTGATGTCTCTGTTGACAGATGGCCTTTTAATGGCTCAGGGATAGAGAAGATGTCCAGTCCTATCTTATCAACTAACATCATCCTATCCAATCACCGTACTGGACATCATCTCTATCCTTGAACCGGCCTAAGGCCAGTAAGGGCGATGGGAAGTTCGTACAATTCGGCAATTCGACAACTCAAAGTCGGTAGTGTAAACCCTGCTTAACACACAACAGGTCTATATAGTATTCTCAGTGTGTAAAAAGCTTAGAACTAGAAGGCACATGAGAAGAGCAATAAAGTTTCGGACTTGATGAAACTATCATGAAGCAAGACAATGAAAATATCAAAGATGAAATGCATCTGACATGATGATTTTACGTTACTAATTGTGGTTTCGTGGTTTTTTTAATATACCAAATTTCGTACCAATCATATGAATATAGAGACACTAGTAGTAGTACACTACAGAGTCTAAGTAGTATATTATAATATACTATATTATTATTACCAATAGGCCGGGAATAGTTACAGTGACAGTTGTCCTACGACATCAAAAACTACAAAGTATACCAAGTATCAAATAAGAGCATATAGGCGCCATCTACAGGCTACGAACAGAAGCTAAACGGCCGACCCATAGATCTCCAATGATGCTACACGGAGCTGCACGATGATACTCCAACTTCGAAACAGAGAATATGTATAATATATACAGGCCCGTAGCCAGCTTTATATTGGGGGGGGGGTTCGTTTTTCAATGTTGGCAATTTTCTCGGCAGGGGCGTGTACAGGATTTGTACCAGGGGGAGTCTAACCGTAACCCAAATTTTTTTTTTTAATTACACCCCCTCAGATGCGTTTTCTGCGCGAGCAAGGGGGGGTCCGGACTCCCTGGACCCCCCCTGTACACGCCCCTGCTCGGGCGCGAAGCGACCAGGCGAGGGAGCCAAGCGACCGACCGGGGGGAGGGGGGAGCGGGGGGTGTTCACTGTTCACCCTCCCGCACGATGGAGATTTTGCAATTATTACACTAAAATGGAGCGACCTGAGGTGAAATTCTTGCAAATTTAAAAAAAAAAAATTTTTTTGCTTGGGGGGTGGCTCGGGGGGGGGGGTTCGTTCGAACCCCCGAACCCCTGGCTACGGGCCTGTATATATATATATATAATATATATACATGTATAGTCAGGAGCTATAATGACAATTGTCATTATTAGCTCTGATGTATATATTGTTCCATGCATAGGTAGCACCGGGGATCGAGGGGGTACTTGAATTATATTTAGACGGGGTGTGCATGGGCAGTGTCGGCACCATGATTGTAAAAGTGGGGGGGGGGCAAGCTGAGGGTAAGAAAAAAAAAATTGGGAGGTGGCAAAATGTTGCGATCGTGTAAGAGCCGGCCGTACGGGCCCTGGTGGAGACCAGGGACAAAGCCCTGGTGGGGGTCCAGGGGGCTCAGCTTTTAGGGTTTGAGGTAAAGAATAAAGCCCCTGTATGCTTTAAACAGAGACATAAAAACACGTGTAGAGCACTTCGGATCTATATCGAAACTTCTAATTTTACTGTAGTGCGCTAGTGTTGTAAATAAAGGCTAGCCACGATTCCACGGAAATTGCTGTTTTGCGGAAAAATAGAGGGGAAAATCGTAGCAGCGGAAATGGATAAGAAAGTGGAAATTTTCCGACAAAATCGGAAGGTTGGGAGGCCTGCCATTCAATAAGAATTCAAATTACATAGACTATAGGGTTAAAACTCAAAGATTGAAAGGCAACATATTTTGGGCCTATATGGAGTAAAATTAATATTGTCATTGCTCCTCTGAACTGTGTCCTAAAAACCTTTGTACAGGAGCTGACTGGGGGGCAACTGGGGTGCAAAGGCTTGGACTGGGGGGGGGGGGCAAATGCCCCCACCATTGCAAACCGGTTCACCGGTCTTCAGGCTGAAGCCTTGAAACCCTTACCCATATCTAAAGGTCCTTGCTAAAGGTCCCTCTTGTTCTTATGACATTTCGATGCTAATTAGGCCTACATGAAAAAGGCGCTGCGACGTCGGTCGTCGTTGACTGGGGGGGGGGGTATAGGGGGTACTGTCTCACAGTTCACTAGTGAACAATAAACTGTTTCACATCTTCACAGTGAAAATGAATGCTCCTTTGACAGATCACGGCAGGGAATAATCAGTTTACAGCAAAAATTTCAAGACTCGCATCATAAGATAAAGTCATAGAAGTGATACAATGTATTTTCTTGACTAACAACACTACTCTAAAAAACAAAAATATGCTTGCAGCAGTAGTCATGCGTTATCGTGTGATGTGGTGCTGTGTGGTGTGTGTGTGTGTGTGTGTGTGTGTGTGTGTTGTGTGTGTCGATGTGTAGTGTGTGTGTGTGTTGTGTTCGTGTGTGTGATGTGTGTGTTGTTGTGTGTGTGTTGTGTGTGTGTGTGTGTGTGCGTGCGTGCGTCGGTAAACATAGATACACACATACATCAGCCCACAACTAATACTAATACACTACTAACCTATATAACTAACAGCTTTCAATACTTATCTGCAGCTAAGCGGAGCTATCGGGGCATGACCACCCGGATTAAAAATAAAAATAGGCTATATTTGTGGAAATTCTGGCTGAATTTTGCAGTACTGCTGTCTTTTCGAGACGGTTCTGAAAGCCGGTGACAAACCGGCCTAACAATTCTCGTAGCCTGACATGCATAGATTCAGCGAGGACAAAGAGACCTCTTATTACACCATTTTCCCCAGACTAATAACAAGCTAACTGCACGCTTACACAGCCAAGAGTGGTTTCATCTCACTAGTTTCACCAGACAAACATAAACGCAAACTCACAGTTCCGAGTACTCAACAACATATGGCCCGATCTACTAGTGTTCACTAGATCTACGAAAGCGGCAATAGCAATTTTTTGTTTTTTAGAAGTTGTTAGTGCAAGTAACCTACAACTATGTGTATACCTTCTATGACCTATGCTTATTGATCGAGTCTGAAACTATTTGGCTGTAACTGGATTATCTCCCCGGATCTGTTCAAAAGAGCATATTTTCAAACTGTGAAATTGTGAAAAGCAGTTTATTTTTCACTGTGACACGTGTAAGTAACCCCCGTTACCCCCCCCTTCGCAAACGCACGCACCGACGTCGCGCGCCTTATTATTCACTCGTAGGCTTCACCTAAATTAAGCTGGCACACACTCTTTGACTCAGCACACAAAGACTGCTATTAGTACTTAAGAGTCTTCTTAGTCTAGTGCGGGAAGTTGCGTTCTTACGTCTAGTCCTAAAGTGGTAGCGTGTAGGAGAGCGAGGTGAACAGCCGGACTGTGGGGCTTGTTGCCAGATAGTGGTGAAGCGATTATGCCTTCCCCACGCCCCAAGCCAGCCTTGCCACGCCCAGTTGCTATCCCAGTCAGCTTTGTATATCATGAGGTTTTTAGGAACACTCAGTTTTCGATGAATGATAGATGTTTTTTTCGTAAATATATGACCCGTTCGTTGATAACTATATAAAATGTCTGGATTATATGTTAGTGTTAAGCGTCCGCACAACGCTGTGTTTTGGACGCTGTCGCCATCGCCACGCGTGCTGATGGCGCAACACTAAATACAACAGCGTTCGCTGCGCCACTCGCAAACGCATCGTATATTCTTGGCGTGTGGAAAATATCACACGTGTTTGATATTTTTTCTTCCCACCAAAAGGGGCGGAATCGAATGTGAACTTTCATAAAAGATGGTGGGAGCTTTTGGAGGCAAATGATGATGTCAAATCACCTAATAAGTATGAGAATGTTCGGGATGTTGAAAAATCTGTGAAGACGAGTAGTATAGGTAGAGTAGCTGACCAAGCCGCAGCGAGCGACAGCGTTGTGAGGGGGGCCAGGGCGCGAATACACGATTCTGCGATCCACGGAGGGGGCCGGAAGGAGTGGGTCTAACCACCTGAGTTTAACTCTGCATACCTTGCGAGCACGCGAAGGGGCGCGGGGGTCTGGAAATTTTTGCAAAGCTAGAGCCTTACCTGATTTTTTTTTTTTTTCTCTTCTCTATGTTATTTGCGTAAAAATGGAGCAGGCAGCAATAAATGGGGGCTCCGACCGCCCTCTTGGACCGCCCCATCGTAGATCAGCGCCCCTACGGGGGCTATATATAGTGGCTAAGGAGAAACTACACTGGAGACCTTTTGCACCAATTTCAGTAGCTTATATAGAATGATGTCAACGTCTGAGTGGACTATACGATCGTCGATAGCCTGCGTAGTTTTTAAACTTCACTTAATGCAGTCTAAGACATGCAAATTAAGCTGATGAGAGATGTCTCGATCAGTGCGTGTATTACCTAGCATAATCAGTAGGTATGGCGGGGGAGCAAGACCGTCAAATGTACGAGAAATTAATTACATCTGAATGTTTAACCATTATATATTTCTGACATGATCACATGTGGTTCTACCAAGAACACATTACATATCAAATAACCTTTGCAGCTAGAGAAAAATATACAATTTCAAAATCAAATCTTTGTGAATAACTCGAATACTATTTCAAACTTGAAAGAATGTTTGATTAGTATGAGTATGTGTCATTACAGAAGCAAAATAAAATTGGTACTTTCTTCCCCTAATGAAACATCCGGTTACATACATGTATGACATATAACAGTTGCAGCAGAAATATAATCTCTTACAAACGTTAAAAATCAAATTCTTGTAATGACTCTGAGGATTTTTCTTTGGCAGAAATTCAGAAGACATGAGCTGACAAAATTTGATAGTTATCGTTAACAAAAATGGTCGATGATGTCACAATTTCTGACCTGTAACCTATGTCTATGTAACTTATTTACACATTGAAATTGAGAAAAATTAATTTTGTAATTTTGTAATTTTGTAATTTTTTTAATAATGTAAATTAATTATTATTTTTTTGGTTTACAGGGGGGGCACGGCCCGCCGGATGTGCCCCATCTAATATCGCGCCTGCTTTCCACGTGTGGAAGATTGAACAGCGTGTAGCAGGAGTGGCTGTGTCAATTCAAGCTCAATCGCATTGTTCGCTTGATTGTTCGCTTGGACGCATTGTATTTTTTTTCTCAGCTCGCACTCTCGCATATCAGGCAACCGCATAGAGCATGTCCAAGACTGATCGATCAAACGTCGTGGTGAACGCTCTCTTTCAACTGCGCTCCGTGTCCAAGGCGAGACAATGCAAGAACAATCGCAAATGAGTGTGAATTGACAACTAGCCACTCCGCACGCTGTTCAATGCTGCCACACGTGGAAGATATATCAAAACACGTACGTGTGATATTATCCACACGCACAGAAATTCGATGCCGTTAATTGGCCGCGCACGAAACGCTGTGTTTTTTTTTTTTTTCGTTTTCTTTGTGCTGCGCCAGGTCAGCAACGCGTGGCCGATGCGCAGCACAAAACACAGCCGTGTGCGGCAGGCTTGAGGGTTTGGGTTAGGGTTAATGTTAGGGAAGTTGTATTCATTTTACTATTGTTGCTTTCGAGGAATCGAGTGAATGGATGTGCGC